AACTCGAATTGAGCCGCACAAATCGGCCGAAATGATCACATCACCGTGGATCTGGCGTTCAGCGCTATTTTTGCTCGCTTTCGACTGATCCGAACGCTCTTCGGCACTCCGACGCTGCTCGATAAGATTCAAAAATAGCTGAGGACGGGGTGCAAATATCGCTACAGTTACACATGCCGAATGTCCTGAAATAATCTCATCCGTTTATGTGGAATAATAGACCAAAGATTGTGCACAAGCCATGTGTGTGGTGTTATTTTATGGTGCAAATTGCCTTTGTCTTTCAGACGTGGTGGGGTGATATTTTTCGATGCAGTCTGTGTTTCATCCCTTAGCTGTAAACACAGACCGGGTTGTGCATGCGGGTAGGAGTGGGAATCGTCAGTACAGCCTCCTACCCGCCATGTATTGAAAAGACATGTAACTAATTTGCTAGAAGGAAGAGTGAAAGGAAAAGATAAAGAGAGTAAGTAGGAGAGAAAGTATTTAATGTGATGGAATAAGTTTGCAAAAGCAATTTTATAATCGTCGCAAGCGAAGGCCCATCCCTTTGAAAGTTTTCTAAATCAGAATTTTGGTGAAAAACGAAAAAACTGTTATAATATTGATATCATATCAATAATCCACCGGGAACAAGGGGACTTTGTATCCTTACCATCTGACATACAGTGCTCAAATCTTCCGCTGGGGAAGAAAAAATGAAGAAATAATCGATTGAACAAATGCAAAAATTATGCCATGTACAAGCAAGAATTCAACCAATGGCCCCATTTAGCTAATGATAAGCGAAAATTTCACTAAAACCAGAGGTGCTTAAATTTAGCGCAATGATGAGCACAACAAACTCTGCGATATGTTCAGCCGTTCCGATTGGTAAATCGATGTTATTTACCAAAAAGGCAAATCCACCAACAGATTACTTGTGAACAAAAACCCCCCTTCACCCCCTATCCTTCTCCTCCTCCCCGTCCCTCTCTTTCTCTCTTTCGACTATAAGGTAAAAGGCAGTACAGGCCTCAAAGGCACTGTGAGGGAATGGATGAGGGTAGTAACCAGGGCCAGGAATAGCGGCCCATTATAAGCGCTACCATTCACATCACTTCCTAGTGTCTCTTCCTCTCATACACAGTAAATTCGAAAAGGGTTTTTGATTTCGGCTTATTTGGTCCTAAATATTCAAATATATTTAATTACGGCAATACAGAAAATGTACCCCAGCTGGATAATAATGAAAAATAAAATGCACTCGAAAAACACACACACATACACACGCAGGCGCACACACACACATACACACAGAGAGATAAGATCTCGACAATATACGTTTTGTGCAACAGTTGCAGTACAAAATGCACAAAAAAA